ACTTTATACTTCTTGTCTTTTTATAAATGTAAGAAGTAAAAGTAAAAAGTAGGCTGAAAAATAATTACTATAGTAAAGTACAGATACACAAAAATTCTACTTAAGTACAAAGTATTTGTACTTAGTTATTTTACAGCTCTGCCCTCTGCACAGTCTGACCTTCAGGGTGAGTCTCTGATGGACTCAGCTGCATCAGAACCTGGTTCAGGACTCTGGACCCTCCCTGCTCTCCAGATGCCTCAGATCAGTTTCCTGCAACTCGACCCCCCCAGACTCAAAAATAGTAAAGCTGTTGCACGTAGCTCCACGTGCACGCTCTCACTGACATGCCACAGGTTCATTAAAGGTTCTGGACCTGGTTCTGTTCTGCAGATCCAGAACCTGCAGCTTATGTTTATGTTTGTTTTTTATTTGTTTATGTTCGTTTGTTTTTATGGTTTTGTTCGTTTATGTTTGTTTGTTTGTTTTCTATTTGTTTGTTTATATTTGTTTATATTTGTTTGTGTTTATGTTTGTTTATATTTATATTTATCAGCATGTTGAACTGTAACTCGTCTCTTTGTTCTTTAATTTTGATGTAAAACAACTTAGTTTAATTTGCTCAGATTATAGTTTTAGTTTTAATCTGTCTCAGTCTAACAGCTGARATCATCTCCTGCAGGCGACAGCACACAGATTATTTTTAGCTGACTTCCTGAAGCTTCGGCTGTTTGTGAGCCGAGCAGCAACAAACAGCTGTATCACCTTCCCACTATGATCCCTGAGGGTTCTGGTCCTGGTCCAGGAGAACATCTCAGGCAGAGAAAGGGGCGGGGCTAATTTAATGAACCACAGATTAACTGTAGTCCAGATTTATTCTGACTTTAAATAAAACATCCTGTCACCTGCTGTCGGTCAGGGAGAGTCTGTTAGCAAAATATGTCATGAACCACTGGATGAASAGCTCTTTATGTTTGGAAGACAAAACAATTACTGACTGAAAGTTCTGGTTCCTGCAGCTGAAACCGGATCAGAACCAGGATGGATTTATGGATCTGCAGCTAGAATGTGACGTCAGGTTCTCCCACCAGTTTCCTCAGAGTGGATCGGACTGAGCAGGTCTGACTCAGGTCTGGTCTGACTCAGGTCTGGTCTGACCCAGGTCTGGTCTGACTCAGGTCTGGTCTGACCCAGGTCTGGTCTGACCCAGGTCTGGTCTGGCTCAGGTCTGGTCTGACTCAGGTCTGGTCTGACTCAGGTCTGGTCTGACTCAGGTCTGGTCTGACCCAGGTCTGGTCTGACCCAGGTCTGGTCTGGCCCAGGTCTGGTCTGACCCAGGTCTGGTCTGACTCAGGTCTGGGCTGACCCAGGTCTTATCTGACCCAGGTCTGGTCTGACTCAGGTCTGGTCTGACTCAGGTCTGGTCTGACTCAGGTCTGGGCTGACCCAGGTCTTATCTGACCCAGGTCTGGTCTGACTCAGGTCTGGTCTGACTCAGGTCTGGTCTGACTCAGGTCTGGGC